CCATGCCTTCATGTTGTCCAGGTTTGCAAGTGTGTTTCCAGCTTGATAGAGATCAGTGCCTCGAGAGAAAAAGAAGCTCTCGAGGCACTGATCTCTATCAAGCTGGAAACACACTTGCAAACCTGGACAACATGAAGGCATGGTCATGTATGATCTTTCTGTGTACATGGAGGTTTAGTGTCAGGTTTGTTAAAAATCTAAAAGGGAAAGGGAGTTGATACCAGTGAAGATTTTTTATAGTTTTCATTGGCACTGACAGACTACAGTCCATAATAGAATTTTGTAGAGGCAGCATCGCAAGTAAAATAAATTTGTAGACGTCATACCGGAGAGCAATCAAGATTACCAAGAATCGTAGTTTCCTTCCAAGTAATGTTAATGTAAATTTTAGACTTGGCATAAAAATGTGAATCTAACTATTAATTTTTTTTTAAATAATTACTTTTAAATGGTGATTTCCTGCATTCCCTCCCACTTACTTTAGCCAGAATAAGTGCTTTTTAGAATCTTTATTTTAGTAAGAATAAATGCCTTTTTGCCCACCTATTTTAGGAAAAATAAACACCTGAACTCCCAGGCTCTATTCATAATTCAATTTAATACGTATATAAGTAATGATGTGTATGTACACATATGGATGTAGATATGTACATAGGTAGCAATCAAAAAGCTCAACAAAACATGCACAGATGCCAATTCTCTCAATAGAATGTAACAGATAGTTTTTAACAGTTCAAATAGCCTCTTCAAATATCTACCATCCCCGTTTCAATGCAGTGGAACTTTTGTATATCTGAACACTGCAAAAAGAACAAAGGTACATAAAAAGAAACATGTCAAGAAGAAGAAAGAAGAGAGCAATTTCTCAAAAGATATTACAATTTTAAAGGGCAAGACTGTCAAGAACATCAAAAGTTTTTTAGGAGTAGAAGGAAAGTGGAATTCCTGCGAAATTTTCTTTTGCTTTTGAAGCAATTTTTTCCCTTCAGTACAAGTAAAGAAATACTGGGCAATTTTAGTACATTTATTTATAATGTAGTAAATAAAAGTTATATTTTAATAAAAATTGAATTGTAAGTTCTCATAAAAATCTTCTAAACAACTCCAAGATTTTACGGAAATTGATAGGCCCTAAAAAACAAAAACAAAAAGTAAAATTTAAATGCTTCTTACTTTTAATTTATCAATGCATATCTATTTTCATTTTATTGTTTAACAGCATAAAGCATAATTTGTAGTATAATTTATGTAATTTACTACTGTGCTTGATGCACAAAGTGCATTGTTGGAAACAATGTTGTTTGCAGCATCTCATTTATGTTACTTAATGCATAGAGAAACATTACCGAACCCGATCATCAGTTCGTTGCACCACTCACTGGAATTTTCCTTGCCTCCTTTCACCTGCACCCTCTCAAGAGGATTTCAAAAACAGATCAGTTAATTTGAGAACATGACTTAATTTATCATAGCCACTAAACATACCCTTGGTTGATATACACTTCAATTTGTTTCCACGTGAAAACTACCTTGGGTGCTCCTTTTAACCAAACATGCTCTATCCAACTGCTTTGGAATTCTTTTGTTAGCAACTATTGCATGTGTCATTCCATTTAATTCATTATCCTCCTTACTATTTGTCCTAACAAAGAGTTTGATGCATTCTTTAGCAGGATGAAACAAACAGAACTAAAACTTACTTGTTTCATCTCATTAAAAAAACTGATTTATTAGAAGTGTTGAAGGCATATTACCAATAAAAATATAGTAAAGTAGATAGTAGTAGATGCAGTACAATATTGCTACAAGAAGGTTCTGTTGATGACATGGTTTTGAAGTAAAGTTTTTCCGAACAAAAACATGAAAGATTTATTAAGAAAATTTTAACACTATAATTTTCATTTTGCACTAGTTTAGATTTTGTGGGATGCAATCATTCAAACAATTGATTGGATTTTGTTAAAGAAAAGAGTAGTTAAATTTGGGATATGAAAAGTAATTATTTTTAAAAATGAAGGTAACTCTGATTCACTGCATGTTATTGAAAATAAATCACACCCACAAAGAAAGCATGATATTAACTGATTTCATTGGTGTCTGATGTATGCCGCAAACGGCACATTGTGTTTCATGAGTTTCTGGCAGTGTAAGTGTTAAGCAGAATATAGACACCAGAAATAAAATTTTCAGGATACTTTAAAGGGCTGTGCAAGAAAAAATAAAACATGAAACGAAAAGAACTGAGAACAATGTCGGATTTTTTCTGTGACGAATAAAATCAATTCTTACTGCTTGACGAAACCTGTTGAGGAGGATGCTCCTGAGCATACACACAGAAAAGTTTTACAAAAAGTTCCATGAAAGTTGAAGCCAATATACCATTGATGAGGAAAGTCTGATTTACCTTTCTTGAAAATACTTTGGACTCACTCTGAACAGAAAACCCACATGGAAAAATACATTAAGAATGAAAGAAAAGAAGAAGACCTAAATTTCTTAAATTAAACTGGCTAATAAATCAGTATACAAAACAAACTGTGTAAATAGTTGTATTAAATCTGGCTACAGCATACAATTTCAGGGAACCACCCAAAATTCTATAGGGAAATACTACATACTATATAAACAAAATACTGCAAGGTTTCTAATCAGTAGCTTGAGGAAATATGTAAATGCTCCCTGGTACATAACTAACGCAACAATACACAATCACTTTCAGATCCCAACTGTAAAAGAAGAAATCAAAAAGACCATTGCAAAATATCTTCAAAGAGTAGATAATAACCCCAATATATTTGCCATCAACCTCTTTGACAACAGTGACGTCACACGACTGACATGAAACAGCTGGCATCATTATTTGGATCTTTCATGAAGACTTAAATTTTTTGTAATTATGTGTTGTAGTTTATACTTATTATGTTAATGTTACTGTGTTTTTATTAATATGTAATGGATGACCTTGCAATATTCTGAATATAAATGGAGCTAGGGAGAAATCAGAGTCGGAGCCATCACTGGGCAGATACTCCTTCCTAGTAGGTACTGCAATTATGCAAATTAGTTAAATGATTGAAAAAAAGCACCTTGCAACCAAAATAAGTACAAAAAAGTAATTTTTAAAAATTCTCACAACCTTTATAAATCTCCCATTTGAAGAATACACAGAACCTATTATAAATGAACTTTCTGTAAAAGACTACTGAGGAAGGAGAGACAAGACAGGTCTACGGGAGAAACAGAAAATATCTTCTCAGAGTTTCAGAGAAAACATGGTCTTGGCATTTCCAATCACATTTGGCATTTAACCCTTAATCAAGCAACCAGTATCTACTAGACTTGTGGGTTCTTTTTATTGTCCTTTATGACAATAAAATGTTTCAATGCCTGCTCTTTTGCGACTTTGTTTCCGCACTTCTCAAACGTCTGCATGCGAGGTTTCACTTCTTTTAAGACAATCAGCAACGATAAAAAGATATAACAAAATTGTGCCAAAGTGAAAGAATAGAGCATTTTTACACACATTTTTTGATTGTAAGTGGCAGACAAAGTTGACCTGGAAATATTTCAAAAATAGCTTGCGTAAAGCTATTATCTAAATCATTCCTCAGATCACATCACGCATCAGGGACCAGCCGATGACTAATCCATTTTTCAAAAAATGAAAAGGACAATGCTGCTATGGTAGATCATGCTTTCAATATTAAGGGACACATACTATTGAATCAGAATACTTTTGGCATTCTTTATGTCTCTCTAAAAAAATTTGGCACTTTGGCCCACAACCCAAATGTAAATCTGGACCTGACTGTTACCTTTAAACTGGATCCAATACACAGGATTGTATCAGCATTGGCAGAAGCAGTCACAGCTCCTGGCCAGTTCAAAGGCCATTTCAAAGTTCCACGTTCACCAAAATGCACAATCGAGTCAACCAATGCCCCAGAGCATTTGTAACATCTTCGACCTGTTCTATGATTAAATCTCCCGGTGTTCTCAGTGACATCAAACAACCGCAAATATTCTCTCACAGGCTGGCACTGGCGACAAACCTGCAAAACAATAGACATTCAAATGATTTATATTTGTAGAAATACAAATTCAACACACTCAAACAAAGAATTAATGAACTATCCTAGAGAGGATCACAAAAAGTACTCTACAAATATACACATTTGGTATTGTTGACATTTTTTCTCAATATAATTTTGCAGCAGATTCTGCCAACTTGAAATTTTCTTATAAATAATTTTTCAATAGGACAGAATATAATTTTGTTATTGATTTATAATCAATAATTATAATGTACACAACTGATGTATTAAATAACTTTTGTTAGTATAATAAATTAGTGAAAGCTATATTTTTGAATATGTATTTATTGACTTCTGGGAGGAGCTGACCACTTCAGATAACCAATCTTTACAATATCACAAACGATACTGTGTAATATTTTTCATCTTTCATTTTCACCTGCCTAGCTTTTTTTCTCCCCAAAAAATCTATTTTTCCATTTCTTTCTAATATTAATTCAATTTTCTTCGTTCAGAATATAAGCTGTACAATCGTATTTTAAACAAACTCACCTCAACATACATGTTGCCATGAACTTCAGATAATGCTTCTCTGGGCAGGCCACTCCTAAGATGCAAACCATCACAGTTTTGAGAAACTACATGTTTGATAATGCCAACCTGATACAACTTTGTCAGGGACATATGAGTGAGCGTAGGATCTGCTTTGGACAAGTCATGAAGCCTGGAATCATTGAAATGTCACTATCAAATGAGATGCCTAAAATGAAGATAAAAAAGGGAGAAAACAAAAGCGATGTGACCAACCCAACATCTTTCCCTTGTTGAAGTAAAGTCCAAATGCCATTAGAGCCTCTGTAATCAGGAATACAAGCAGCAGTACTGACACCAGCTCCTGTATACACCACAAGTCGCCTAGATGCTGACAGAGCTTCAGCCAACATAATACATTTTTTTGCAATTACATCAGGTGGATCTTCAACTTCTTTTAAGCGCTCTTTTAATTTTTTCTGACGTTCAATTCTAAGTGATACCAAGCAAAGAAATAATGAAATTCATTAGTAATTATAATCTCTAATATACACACACGAGTTCTGTCTTATTTGCAACAAACTCGTACCTCCTCCTTACTTCCTTCACTAGATCAATATAATTCAACAAGAAATGCTTTTCTTCTTCACTTCTATCCACTTCAGTTTTCTTAAGAAGGGCATATACCTGGAGAAAATTACAAAAATTGAGGGAAGAATTGTGGCATCATGAATTACTGGTGCATAAAGGAAATATTATTACCTTTTTAAGCATTACATTTCTTTCCTGTTTAACACAAAATTTTACTGCTTGGGCAGCTTTACGTTTTGTAGTTGAATTCAGTTCGCTTTTAACGGCCATTTTCATGTAGTTTAAATTATAAAAACCAACAAATGTGCATTATGAAAAGGTGATGAATGTATAATCCTTTGTCATTATTAGTATTATCAGTGTTCATTCACTTAAAATTTCAAACAAACAAAAAATAAATATATTGAATTTGACATTCGTGAAGCATTTCCTAAATATCTAAATCCGTACGTATGAAAATCGTCTAGAGAAAGTGAGTTACAACTAGAAAGTTACTTAATTTATGTCTCTTTAGGTATTGAAAATCGTTACTGGATTTCGGAAAAAATAAATGATCACTTTTCATGGTGTTAGATTCCAGAAACAGATTTAAGGTTTCTGTTTTCACCATACTCAATGTAGTGCAACTATGACAATTGACTAAGCATGCCCGAATTTCCATATTTTGTAATTCCACTTTCTTTGTCACTTCTTTCAATAAATTAACTATCCTTATATTCTCCCACTACAAAATAAAACGGTATTGCTTATTGCTCGATGCTACAAACTTGACTTGTTGCTCGCTGGTACGGATAGAACTTCTGTGTTTACATCCTCACACTACGTATTTCCTGTTCCACTGCATTCCAGTCTCCAATGTCCGATGGAGTCGCAGAACAAGTGAAGAAATTTGTGTTTAAATCGGTCAATAGTAGGGGTGGAGAAAGTGACGTAGAGTCTTTGGAAATATTCATTCCAGAGGTAAACCTGAGCAATATAAACGTACAAATGTGGTTTTAATTCCAATTATTAGTCTTTGTGGCCTGCGAATTCGTGTAGTGCGTAATTCAGTAGCGCATTCCGAATTTCTTTTTAGTACTTGTGAAGCGTTTGGAACAGTTTCACAGTGACCAAGGTTTAAAAAAATGATTCTATTGAGGTTTATTATGCCATATTAATAAATTATCGTGTTAAAAATTAAATACATTTTATTTTTTTATTGAATAACGCTCATAGATCACGCATAACCTTGACTGCTTAACAGTAACGAATGTCCTTGTATGGAGGATTCCGTTAGGTTTTGTTTTTTTTTTGCAATTTGTTACGCCTTTAATGATTTAATACCCAACTTTGTTTTAATCGTAATTAATATTATTCTTTTTTTCAGCAATTGCAAGCCAGTTACAGTTTCTACACTTGGCCAGCTGCTCCAGTTCTTGCTTGGTTTCTTTGGGAACATCGCCGAGAGCTACCGGGCAAACGCATCCTTGAATTAGGATCTGGAACTGCGTTGCCTGGAATTGTCGCTGCAAAATGTGGTGCAGTCGTAACCTTAACAGAGTGTGCTAGTCTTCCAAAAAGTTTACAGCACGTGAAACATTGTTGTGATGTGAATGGACTTCAGCCAAGTCAAGTGCGAATTTTAGGGTTAACTTGGGGCCTTTTTCTAAGTACTATTTTTTCTTTAGGTCCAATAGACTTAATTTTGGGTTCAGATTGCTTCTATGAACCATCTGTTTTTGAAGATATTGTTGTGACTGTGGCATACTTATTAGAGAAAAATCCACATGCAAGATTCTTGTGCACCTATCAAGAGCGAAGTGCAGATTGGTCTATTGAACATTTATTGCACAAGTGGAGATTACAGTGTGAACATATTCCTTTGAGTAATTTGGGAGCAGAATCTGGAATAGACATAAATGAATTGGTGAGAGATCATACGATACATTTACTAGAAATAACACGTGCCTGATTGTTGTATTAATTGTTAATAAAATGGCTTCCAGACCTTTGCACAAACTTTTTGTTGGCAATTTACCATGGACTGTCTGTCATTCAGAACTCAAGAAATATTTTTCTGAATTTGGACATTTAGTTTCTGCTAATGTAATTTTCAATAAAGAAACTGGAATGTCCAGGGGATATGGTTTTGTTATCTTTAGTACAAAGGGTGGTTATGACAATGCTATAAATCGAACTAAACATAATTTAGAAGGAAATAATATTGTAGTTCAACCGAGTAACTAGTCCACTGTGACAATCAATGCGTACGTAGTTATGGATGATCTTCTTAGACTGATTTAATCATTCAAGGACTTTCAGTAGAAATAAGGTATCATGGCAGACACAGGAGAAAACTCTGTAAGTCTGACTGAGGCTTTTGAACGAGCAGCCAATCATATGAAGACTCTTGTTGGTCAATTAGGGAATGACAAGCTCCTGGAGTTGTATGCCTACTACAAGCAAGCCAAGGAGGGGCCATGCTGCATTCCGAGACCTCATTGGTTTGAACTCACAGCAAAACAAAAGTGGGAGGCTTGGAAAGAACTTGGGAATATGGATCAAGAGACTGCAATGAAAAATTATATCAGTTCAGTATCTGCCTTGGACCCAGGATGGGAGCTGCGATACTCAAAGGAACAAACAGAAGACAAAGAGAATGCTGTGCACAACATAGGATGGGTATCTGTCAGCTGCCTTCCAAATACAGATGACTATATTGCAGATGATGATAAGACTGTATTCGATTGGGTGAAAGAAGGCAATATAGATAAGGTTTTAGAACTTGCTCAGAAGCAAACTGTTTTTGCTGCTGTTGATGATCTGGATGATTGTGGTATGGGTCTTATTCACTGGGCTGCTGATAGAGGGAGCCTGTCGGTTTGCAAAGGCCTTTTAGAAAGGTTGAAAGCCAATGTTGATCTTCAAGATGGAGATGGTCAGACTGCATTACATTACGCATCGTCATGTGGCCATATTGATATCGTTAAGTATCTTTTAGAAAATGGAGCTGACAAGAATATAACTGACAGTGAGGGATCCTTACCTCTGGATGTTGCTTCAGATGCAGAAATTGAACATATTCTCAAGTTGTGAAGTTGCAGGTGGTTGTCATTTTTTGTTTGTTTTTGTTTTCATTGCATTGGAAATATAGAGCATTTTCTCTGTGACTTGTTTCATTTTATATTGTGTTCCATTTCCTGATTCCTGAAGTTCTGTAGAGGAAATTTACATTATTTCAAATTTCCTCTACATTACTCCTAAACAAATTTACATTATTTGAAATGTATATGTACAGCACTTCAGTTTAAAGTTCTTTGGGATAGAACTGAAGTAGTTGACAAAATTCTGTGTTGTATTCTCATTTAGTCTTGTGTTAATTTAATAATTCTTTTAGTGTTCATAAAAGCCCATGATATTTTAGTTCCCACTTTTTTTTTCTTTTTTCCCCCCTGTTCTTTGCTGATTGACTTTTAAAAATTATTTGTGCAGTTTTTCTAAGATTTTTGACGTGCAAAAAATTAGTATCTTTTGAAAAGATGTAGTAATTATAAATTATTATTTAAGTAACTTGAAATAAACAAATTAACATTAATGTGTAAAAGTGATTTTGCTACACTTCAATTTGTTTTCATGAGGTATCATTATACATTGAAATGCCTAGATAATAGAAGTTAAATTAAATTTTTTAGTAATTTTTGAGTCAAGTCTAATAATTTGTGAATTACATCAGTCTCTTCACTTCATGGTGCAAGAATGAATCCAGTGCAAGTTTTATTGTGAAGGAGTAAACAAGACTATATTAGCATTTGTTTCATCCTATCCTACTAGTATATCATAGAATCGCAGCTTGCTAGTTTACCTATGAGATCACATGGTGGCTGAAGTCTGAAGAGATGCAAGAATTACATTTTCATATTCAATTACTTAAGAACAAAAATAATTTTAAATAATACTGAAAAATGAAAATTATTTCATTAGTCAAATTAGTTCTTTGTGTCATGAAAAATGTGAATAATTAAATTATCAAAATAAAATCAATATTTAAAAATCTAAAAAAAAGTTCAAATACAACTATAAAAAGATCACCTAAGAAACAAGTCTGTTTTAAATTGCCTATTTAGTTTGTTTTATTTATGTTGTATTATTCAATATAAGAAGAAATTAGATAGTGATGAAAGTTTTTTTTTTGTTTAATTTTTTTCCCATGAAGTGATACTGTTTTTTATAAGAATTTTTTTTATTTATTCTAAGATGTAGTCAGTTCTAACTTATTTTCCATAGGTTTGGAAAGATAATTTTATTTGCACTTCCTATAAAATAATTTTTTTTTAGATGGTAATGCTTCAATTTTTTCATCAAATGAAATGGGTATTGTGACATATAAAAGTTTTTGAAACAAAAGCGTTAGTGATTTCATTTGTAACCATGATATTTGATCTCAGGCTTGGAGGTAACAACATTGGTGAAAATGTTTTGCTTTGAAATAATCAATATGTGATAATACCTGTCTGAATTATTTGTGCGTTTTTGCAAGACGAAGTCTTCTTGAGCTTGTCACTTGTGTCTTAAGGTTGATTTCAAAGGAAGAGAAATCATGTACGTGGTTAAAACAAAGAAATTATAAATAATAATAATAATAAAGTTGTTGAAATGAATAATATTTGATGCAAAATATCTTTTAAAAATTTTAAGTTTACAAAGAAATTTTAACGAAAATAATAAAAGGCGTGTTTTACTCTCAGTTCATACATGTAATTTCACTAACAAAATTGTTTATTAAACGAAGCTTGCTCTTACAGTGCTGGATTCCTGTCTTGAATTTTATTGCAAAGAAAACATTTGTTTTAAGAAATACATAGTGCTTGCTTGTACTATAGTCACTTCAAGTGATGAACTTGATTAGACCATACCATCCAGAGATGAAAAAGTTCTCAATTTTGAACCAATGACTTATTTTTAATCCCATTGTAGGAGATCACAAAAGGTCATCACAAATTTCTTATTGTATTAATATGAAGTACTATAAAATGCTTTAATACACAACATTATTCCCCCACCTCCAACAATATTTTTATTTTTGACTATGTGTCCCTACCGTCTATGTCTGTAAGACATCTCTATAATTGGGAGTGTATTTTTTCAAAATGTAACATTTTTGGAATCAGTATTAATGAAGTTTTCCCTTAATACTAGAGACAATCAAAAGATCACTCATTTATTCGTATTAAATTTTTCTTCATTATATCTTCCAAACATATATGTCATTTCTGTAAAGAAATGCATTCTCATCTCACTAACTGGAAATGGAAATGCATCCATTCTAAACCATTTAATAGAAGGAATATTCCCATTGGCCTTTCTTAGATTTGTCAAAAGCCTTTGACATCATTAACCACACAATACTTTTAAGAAAACTAGAAATGCTAGGGATTCAAGGCATTGCAGACCAATGGATCAAATATTTATCAAACCGAAGCCAAATAGTTGCCCTCCAGCACACTAAAGAAAGCAAAATCTCCTCATACTACTCCTACTCTCCAATAATAAATTGTGGAGTCCCGCAAGGGTCCATCCTTGGGCCAATACTATTCCTTGTATACATAAATGACATGCCTTTGGCTTTAAGGAACAACAATATAATTTTGTTTGCAGATGACATAAACATATTCATCAAAGCAAAAACACAACAATCATTAGAAAAAGAAACTCACAAAACTTTGCAAGCACTAGTAAAATGGCTTCAAGACCACAAACTCATCATAAACACCAGCAAGACAGTCTCTCTAATTCAGGAATACCCAATCTAAAGAAAAACTCACAGCATTTGCTTATAAACAATAAACCTGTAACAATATCTCATGAAACTTGGGGGGGAATGTTTGTAGAACCTCACACAACAATAATTGTCTCAGACAATTATATACCTATTTAAGAGAATTCAGAATTACTTGAGAGATGTTCATTGAAATACTTTCCATTTAAATTTTCTCCAAAAGTTTTTGAATGTGTGTGGTTCTACAACTTTATTTTTTTTTTTTCAAAGAAAAAGCTGTTCTGCGCATTGTTTAAAATGTAGAACACATAGAGAACCTAAATCAAACAAAAATTACATATCAGAAAATATCAAGTGATATTTAGTAATAAAGGAATATTTCCTTAATGTAAGGGTATCAAAATCACTCTTGCTCCATTGTCATAAAAGCTCCTTCGAATGTAAAACTGCCTCCCAAGACCATTCAAAGCAAAGATTACAAAAAATTTAAAATATCAAAGTCAGTTCTGTTAAAGGGCAAACAAGACAAATTTGCTTAAATTCTGATTCAACATCACATTAACTATAATATTCAAAAAGGTAAAGTAAAATACCAGGTTTTTCTTCTTATTTTTAAAAATTTTCCATGGCATTTTTACAGAGTACTATTAATAAAAATTGAAATCTGAATTACCTCATGCATAATTGAACAATATATGTGAACAGAAATGCTTTAAGGAAGTAAGTTATAATATTCAAAGAAAGTAAAGAAAGAACAAACAATGCTTTGTAAGACAAAGCCAATTTAGCCATCGACAAGCTAATTCAATGGATCCACCATAACAAACTAATCCTAAACCGAGACAAAACACAATACCCTTCCACAACTCCCACTCAACACAACAATACTCACCAAATTTAATATTAGAAGGAAACTGCATTAGACAAGCACAGAAAACAAAATTTCTCGGAATCACCATACAATCCAACCTCAAGTGGAACTCTCACCTAGAAGACATTAATTCAAAATTGAGCAAACTTAATTATGCTCTTAGAATAATAATAAGAAGCAACACCATTGATACAGCATGAACAGTGTACTTTGCAAATGTGCACTCTATTCTCAAATATGGGATAATAATATGGGGCCAAGCACCAGAGGCTATACAAACATTCAAAATACAAAAGAGAATCATTCGAACAATAACAAATACAAAAAGAACAGTCCTGCAGGCCTCATTTAAAAAAACTTAACATACTTCCACTGTTAAACCATTTGTAGCTGTTACCATAATTGTTATAATGTACTGTTAGAATACTATTATTATAATATAAGTAATGTTATCTATTACATTTATTATTATTATTATTATTATTATTATTATTATTATTATTATTATTATTATTATTATTATTATTATTATTATAAGTAGCAGTAAAATCACTATATAAAAAAAATGATATTCTAAAAATGAAATGTTATAAATCTCGAAATGTTAAAATATTTTAAATTAAATTAAAGTAAGTCAAATGTTCAACTAATTGATGCTAAAAATAATTATCTTCAATGTAATATCTTAATATATCTGTAACAAGTATTGTGTAGTCACTAGGCCAATGACCCCATCTTGATCAGGTTTTTTGTCCAGTTTCCCTGGTCCTTTGAGCAAATCGAGATGGCGCCCTTTGTTTGCTTCTGACAATAAAAAATAAATGTAACTTCACTCGCTGCTCCCAAAAGATGTATTATATCAATATTGACCGTCATACCACGATGTAATTGTAATATGTGATCATAAATATTATGATTATGATTATTATTATTATGATTATTATGATTATTTTTATTATTATTAAGGAAGGTAGTTTGACATTGTTTCTTCACATCTATTAAACCGTGAAGACTAAACTATGAGTATTGAAACATGTTTTGAAATTGGAATCACAAGATTATATTTCTGTATTACATTAAACTACAGTGATGAAGAGAAGAAAAATACTATGTGGGAATGATGTTAATGTAAATAAATAGCAAAAACACATTAATAACATTATTTATAAAATAAAGTAAAGTTTAATTTGAAACCAATAATGTTAATTAAATTGTGAGCCAAAAAAAACAACCTGGATAGCAATGGAATTGACTTAAACTTTAACTTCGACTTTCTCTCTTCTTTATTTATCTCTAATTTGGTATTATTCATACAGCTTTTATAATCCTCATTATAATATTTTTAGAACAATCTGTAATTTTTCATATTTTGAGCCAGTAATGCATAGATAATTTTGTAGATTTCTTTAGAAAAGCTGGCATTTTGAATAAATCAATCACATATGTCAGTTTGGCTAAAACATTTGAACATAAATTTTTTTGAATTAATAATAATAATAATAATAATAATAATAATAATAATAACAATAATAATAATAACAATAATAATAACAATTTATTTCCAAAATAATTACATTGACAGTGTACAAAAACCATCACCATAAAAAACAATAAGAAAGAATACCAATTCTGTTTGACTACTTTACATACATTATACATCCTGTTTAACCTTTCAGTAAAAATTCTGGTCTTATCAGGTTTAAATTTTAAATTTAAGTATATTTATTACATTTATTTTATCTTATTCAGTACACTTCAAACTCTCTCTAAGTACTTTATGTACTTGTAAGAGAGGGGTGTGTTACATTGTACGCTTGTTCTTTTTCTTCTTGTTTTTCTTTTTTGTATTACCGTTGTTGATTATAGTTCACCCATCATCAGTACTGTTTGACGTGAATTGTTTTTATTGGAATTTAGATT